TCTTTATTTTTAAAAAAGAGTTTATTTATTTATTTGACAGAGAGAGACACAAGCAGGGGGAGTGGGAGAGGGACAAGCAGGCTTCCTGCCCAGAAGGGAGCCCGATGCGGGGCTCGATCCCAGGACCTTGGAACCCTGACCTGAGCCGAAGGCAGACGCTTAACAACTGAGCCACACAGGTGCCTCTGCAATGTTTTTCTTTAAATAGAAAGTGCCCTTCAGTAGTACTCTCATTCCATGGAGGATATGCTTCAAAACCACAGTCATCCCTGGTTAATCCCCAGCAGCTTTATCCCCACCAGGTGGGAGCTATAAAGCCTGTTTCTGCCAATGGCTACTGAGGAACGTTGTCATCACCTGCTAATCCTGGAGCTCTGAATACAATTACATTTCTAATCTGAGGGTTTACAGAAGAATATAAATGAAAGGAACAGCGTCATTTGTATCCAGCATTCCCGAAGTACGGGTTTAAACTTCCTTCTGAATTTTCAGGCCCTCCACAGTCCAGATACTCTAATTCGCCAGTACCTTGTTCATGCAGGACACAGCAGCCCCAGATAGGATTCAACCAGCAAAGCCTGCATGGAAGCACCATCACCTCTTCAGCTGTGGACTCTATTTGGCCAGTGACCATGCCCAAAACTGCATCAGCTCCTTAACCAGCCTGTCAATCTGTCAGCTACTGTTGAACTTGGCTGGTAGCAGGTGATCAAAAACAAAAAAACAAATCAACAAAAAAACACACATAGCGGCCCACTCCACCCAACTACTAGAACAGAAACCCTTCATTATGTGTGCTAGTGTTTCAGAAAGTGTTTTTTTACGTTGAAAATACTGTTAATTCTAGACCAGTCTAGGCTGGAAGTGTCTGAAAAACAAGAGAATCTGAAATCCCATGGAGTTCCTCATCTCTGATCTCCAAAGCCAGCTGTATCTGTTAAAGTTTCATGTTGCCAAGAAGATAAATGATAATAGAGAGTTTTGTAACTCTACCTCTTCTGCAGAAAAATAGCTGTTTTCAACTGTCTCCTGCGGAAGACCCCTGTGCCAGGATGTATGCATCTGTGAATACATGAGCATGTACCCACTTTAAAAAAAACAAAAACAAATAAAAAATCAAACCAAGTCTCTTGTCAAAATAAGAAATGTTTAAAAATCCAGCTCTCTACAGGGATGAGAACAACACCTATCCATTTAGAGGACTGTAATATCCTCAAAACCTATCTCAAAGTCTTTTTTTAAGAATCTCAGTTTGAATAATAGTATTGAGCCCTCCAGCTAATCCAAAACATCACAGTGTAGTTTCAGTCATCAGTGAGGCCACAGCCTGATGGAAACAAAAGAGAATCCGGCCTCTTAAATAACTGTAAATATACAGCCCTCCAAAGACATTCTGGGGCTTTGATTCAGACAGAAGAGAGGCGTAGCTTTTCTTTTATTATTCCAATTTGATCAACCATAACCTATTACTTTTGCCAGTTGTTTCACAAAGATTCTTATAAAGCATTTCCCAAGATTCATATACCCAAGAAAGAATCTCTCATCTTCAGTAAGTACTGAGTTCTTTTATATTAAAATGAAAAGTGCCAGGAGAATCTATAGGACAGAAGAGGAGCAGGAATCAGGAAGCTCCTAGGATGGCCAGAATGGAAGGACTTGCTCAAAAGCCCAGGTCAAGCTGAACAGGAAACAGAATAACTTTGCTATACTGTGACACATCAAAATTGGAGAGCCATGGCCCTCCAAAGGGTCAAGTGCAAGGTGCATTTGTCCCTACCTCCCCACCGGTTTGCAGCTTTGGAAGTTGGGAGGCTTGGGTGATCTCCCACAGCCTGGCCTTGACCAGTACAAGGTAGGCACATTTCCTAGCTGACTCACAACCTGCCATCCAGGGTCTCAACTAACACAAAGTTATGAGCATGTCTCAATTTCTAGCTGCAATTTTGTTCTATCCAGAATTCTCCAGCAGCGGCTTTACCGAGTGAGATCTCTTGGCAAGTCTCCTACAGCTTTGAGGTAGCAATTTGGAAGGTAAAGCAATTGGATATTGTCCCTTTAAAATATCATTCAATTAGGTCTTTTGTAATACATACAACATAACGAGATAGCCTTACCAATTCTAAAGAAATTGCTAGTGCATTTCATCAAAGGCACAATAATGGAAACATCAATTCACTCCTCACCACAAACATCTCCCTTCGATGCTGCAGTTACCTTCCTACTCACACTTTTCATTTTCTCTAGAAGAAACCAGATGCCTCAATGCATGCACATCAGAGAAGGTTTCAGTCTGAAATAAGACATTTGTCTATCAATCTCAACTCTCCATCCGCTGCTGCATAGCATCCCTCTCCTTGACTCTAAACCAATAAATTAAAGAAAAACTCCTCTAAACCCTGGATGATGGAGGCTAGGTGTTTTATGCCAGTTCTGCAAAAGTTGCCAGGGGCATCGTCTGCCTCCTCACACCATTTATTTAGAAGAATGGCAGGGTACCAGTTAGAAACTTTATGGGCCTGAAGAACATTCAGCCACTTTATGCAAAAGATGTTAACAAGAAAGAGTACCTAAGGAATAATACATCCAGAAATGTGCAGTGTGATTAGGAAAATCCATCAACACCTACTGCCACATTTCCAAATATTTTTACTATGTAAAAAAGCAGCCACCAAGCCTGAAAGTATTTTGAATGCATTAAATCCACAAGACTACTTCATGAGCAATGCCCCAGATGTTCTCAGTGCCATGGAGATGAGGGAAAAGGATCCTCCTTCTGGATACACCCAAGGCATTCCGCATTTGGTTTATCAACCTCTTGGCATGAGATGTCTAATCTAGCTTGTCTCTGTATAAATAAAAACATAGTTTAGGTTTTCTGAGTGTCATCTAAACAAATTACCATCCAGCCTTTAACAATAGCCAAAAAATTTATTTTTCAATATAGCTTCAAAATTCATAGCAATACGAAGCATCCAAACTCACAGACTACCTGACATTTGGCTAAGTCTTTCATACAATAGCCACTTGATGCCATGAAAGAAATGTATTTGCAATGGCTTTCGCTTTGCAAATGTCATGTGGCTGTCCTTAGGGGATTGCATTAAGCACCTGGCACCCACCATGAGGCTCCATTAATGAGAGATATAAAGGTTATGCTGAAATTATTGTTTAAAGGTGCTGACATCTCTCTCTCTCTCTCTCTCTCTCTCACACACACACACACACACACTCACATTTAAAATCACATATTCAAATATATACTGAGGAACAACTGTATCAGGATTTAAGAGAGAAGAGAAGAAGCGAAGCTATTTCAATTAAGGTTAATCTGTGGATATCTCTACACAAGGCAGTGCTTATAATTATCTATTTTATCTATTTGCTTTCACTGATTGATTCCACAACATGATTACCTAATAGTTTGGCATCAAGCACTATACTAAGGTTCTATACTAAGGAAATACAAAGAAGAATAATCTAAAGTCCCTTTTCTTAAGTATAAATTGATCAGCTACAGCAGGCTTACCATAGCATTTATGTATCCATCCACTAATTTGTCCACCTCACAGATATTTACTGAGCACCTTTTAAGTACCAGGCACTGTGCTGGCCCCGGTGCAACATCCATGAGCAAAACCGGACGTGGTCCTGCCCTCCTGGAGCTTGTAGTCCAGTGAGGAACACAGATAATCCAAAGATCACATAAGTCAATGTAAAATCTCACCCGTGACAGGCCCTCTGGAGGGGAAGTGGATGGCACTATGGGAAAGAACACCACGGAGCATCTAACTTTGTCAGGGAGTTTAGGGGAAGACGTCCTGAGGAAGTGATACTAGATCTGAGATCTGACAGTGACAAAGTTGACTTCACGGAAGAAGATTTAGGCCCAGGAATGGAGCCAGGAAGACAGCTGGGATGAAGAACTGAAAGAAGGACATTCAAGGGAACGTGGTAACGGTGAGTCAAGTCAGAGGAGGGACCAGCTAAGGAGGCCCTAGTAGATTCTACAGAGGACTGTGGTCTTTTTTCTGTGAACACGGAGAAAATGCAGAAATCCTAAGATCTACATTTGGGAAATAGATTGTTCAGGTTATAGTATAAACACTGGAAGAGGCTCTGGTCAACCCTCGAATGACAGATATAACCTAGATTTCAGTGGTGGTGGTAACAGAAGTCCATGGAATTACGAGATGGAGATAGAATGATAGGTTAGAGATGCTAGGTTAGGAATGAGGAAGTATTAAGGATACCTCCTAGGTCTCTGACTTTTGCAACCAAATGGATACAATTAGGGAAGACTGGAAGAGAACCAGCTATGTTGGAGGGAGAGCAGATGTCCATTTTTGGAATCCACTGAATCAAGAGGCTTCTGAGACATACAAGAGACAGAGTCAAGTACACAGCTGGATAAATGGATCTTGAGCTCGAAGAGGAGGACTTATTGGGTCATTATATCTTGAAGGTACTTTTAGAAAACAACAAAATGGACGAGTTTGAGACTTCCCTTCCTTTGCTAAACTACAAAAATGGTATATTCAAATTTTACCAAATCAACGCAGCATGGTATGCTGGAATATTCCCTAGACTTGGAATCTGACAACATTCATTCCAGCTGTGGCTCTTCCAACTACCAGCTGGGCAGGCTTGAACAAACACCTTAGCCCTTCGGCACCTTCGTTTACTACAATCACTATAAAATTACTATGAATACACTTTTCCTACTTGCTTCACAGGGTTGTTTTAAAGGTCAAATGAGTAAAATTATAGAGGAAACCATCTTAAGCCTATGAAATGATGCACAGCACTGCCAATAATAGAGCTGCTTGCATAGTTTGATACTAAAGAGCAGAAAAGATAGTTCGTTGCTACAGACAAAATGAACCCGGCTGGAATGATGAAACGTCACTGAATCCCCTCCAACATCTGGACTAAGTAAACAAGTGCTTTTCACCAGGTGGTACCTGGGTGACAAGATGTGAATAAAGACAGTGTTTGTTCACCTTTTGATCCAGACTGTAGGCCAGCACCCAGTCCTCCTGCTTGGGATGGAAGAGCAGACTCTGGATGTAGAAAGTGAGCCGGTATTTCTGATAGGTGGCCCCCTCATCTGAGCTGATTAATATGCTGCTCTCCATTTCAGGATCACTAAGAAGCATGATCTAAAGAAAGGAGAGGAGAGAAAATACAGATGGAGTTAGCATGAGAGAATAAATACAAGAAATTAAAGCATAAATATAAAGTCATCTGTATTTGTATATCACAGCACAGAAAGGGGCATGTGGGTCTCTATATGAAATATTGGCATTTTTTCCCTGATTTAGCCCTTCGTTGCTGAATGGAGCTAAAATATTATGCATGGTTAGGTGTGCATACAAATGAGGCTTCATTTTGTGATGTCCATCTTATAGGTAGTTTCATTGTTGATGTTCATCTTTTAAGTAGGGAGAGCATATTCTTATGCTCCTCTGTCCCCTGACCTTGAGACCATCACACAAGCCCTCTGCCCCTCCCCCTCCCTCAATTCTCCAGGGCACTCTTCATCACACCATTGTTCTTACGTGCCCTTTAGTCTTGAAAAGGATCTCCCTCTTATCCCACTGTTTGTTTTGTTCTTTCTGAATGAATTGTTTGAGTGATTTAATTGACTTAAGTGGTTTCAATGATCACTTTGTTCTAGATACTTTCCAAAGCCCACATCCCCAAAGGCCCCTGGGGCAAAGACTGCTGCTCAATAAAGTGCATCATCCCTAAGCCAAAGGGACAGAATGGTGTAGTAGAAAGGCTTTGGCATCCAAGGGAGCAGATTCAAACTCAACGCTTCTCTGTTCATCTTGGGTCACCTTGGAAACCTACTTAACTCTAGAGGCCTCAGTTTCCACAATAATTTCAGTAGCACGATATCCGAACATGGCTTTGACAGTGGGCATAACATACAGTCTTACAAGTGATCGCTCTAATTATCATTGACCTTTCAGTACTTAACGTAAAAGCCCCCTCCCATCAGCGCAGATTGGCTTCTACTTATAGTACCTCAAAGACATTGATCTCACTAACCCTGTGACTGACTTTCCAGTATTTAATCCAACAGACACTTAGACGCTCAGACCTTTCCCGCAGTTGAACTCCTGACAGTCTTCGATACCAATGGCAATTCCATCCTCCTTTCAGCATTCCCTTCCAGGGGCTTCCATAACATCAAGTTCATCTTGTCTTCCTTTTCATCTGTTTTGAATACTCAACCTTCTCTGATCTCCTTATAATAATGACCATTGCTAAACCCTCAGCGTAGACCCCTTTTCTTTTTATTCAATGCACTGTTCCTCAGTGACTTCTTCCAAGCTTTATTTTTTTCAATTGCCATCTTTCTGGGACAACTCAAAAATTCAGTCTGGACCTGAGGTCTCCTCTCAGTCTCAGACTCAGCTTCCTGGCAGAATCTTCTATTTGGATGTCCACAAACACCTCAAACTCACCATGCCCCACAATGTACCTGATCCCAGTCCTATCCCTTTCCCACCATGTCCTGCCTGGCTCAGTTCGTGTTTCCACCAACGGTTCAATATAAAGCCAAAAACCCGAGATTCATCCTTGACTCTGCTTTCCCACTCGCCTCTCAAAATACCCATGTATTTTACCGATTAATTAGCTCTAAAACCAAATCCATTCTCTTCCTGCTATTGTAACTGCCCTAGTCCAAAACGTGATAATCTCTACACTGGATTACTGTAAAATACCCCTAGCCAATCACAGTGCTGTCCCCACTTGCCCCCCATCCACTTTGTCACACTGTGGCCAGAACAACTATCCTATAATACAAATCTGATTCCAACATCCCCCTACATAAAACCACCCGATGGCTTATCATTGATCTTCCTATATTCTAAAACCCTTGAAACGGCCTAGCAAACTCTGCCCCCTGCTTTTGTCTCTGGCTTCATCAGCACCACAGCCCTTTTGACCTTTATTATCCAGAGAGACCCAGCTTCTTTGAGTTCCTCATGTTTGCTGAGTGACTGAGCACATGAGCTTATTCCCTCTTCAGAGTTATTTCCTGTCTTTCGCTCTACTCCCACCAGTCAATAGGGCTACTTCGACACGTGGTCTGAGCCGCAGGGCCCAAAGCACAAAACGAAGCCAAAACCATTCCCAAACCTTATAAAATAAAATCATTAAATAGCAGGATTTTAAAAATGTTACCCATAGCATATATTACTATTACAAAGTAAACTTTAAAACAGATTCAATCCCTTTAGCTGCAAAGATTCATAGTCCTTTTCCTCTTTTACTCCTTTATAGCTTCCAAGACAAGCTTACTTTCTTTTTCTCAAATATTTGCTTTGGCTTCATTGAAGTAAGTTATTACTAGTTATCAGCAAATTTTTAAGGAATGGATGCAGTATAATTTTTTTTTTTCATTCATACGTGAATAATCTAGGGGAAACGTTCTGAGGTGGATTTTTCATAGACAAAATAGCTTCACCTCCCTTGGCAACGTGAAGGGGTAGGGGCGGCAGATAAAAGCCCCCCTGCTGCCCTTGAGAACACCTCAGAGGCTGCATCCATGCTCCTCGTGAAGTCTGAGAGGACAAATACATTGAGGAAGAATGAAGCTTTCCTCACCACCCTGACTTGCTTCCCACCACGGGCTGATGGGCTACGAAACAGGCAATGAAATCATTTTTCCCCTAGTACAGAGAAATTAAACTGCTTATTTTATGCAGGTATAAAGAAGCTTCATGCCTATGATTTTAATTAGAAGATAAGACCAACATCATAAATGGACTTTATTTTATATACCGTGAGTTACTATATACTGAATAAGGGTTCCCATCAAATATCTAGTGCAATGTAGTCTCTTCCCCCAGCAGTTTCCTTCTGGGTGCGCACACACACACACACACTTGCACACACACATTTATCCACACACACATACAGCGATGCTGCATACAGGAGCACACACACGTACATTAATGAATTCATACACGAGGCATATTGACACTGCATGGTGGTTTTAGAGAGCTTTTGTTGGAAGAGCACATTTTTATTGCAACCTTTCTCCGACATTCTCATCAGAAACCCTTTCATATACTTTGATATCACTGGCAGTGTCTGTATTCAATCCCAGTTTCTGAGAAGAATGAAATGAAGGGAAACAGAAACCTGTACGTTCTGGATCTCGCTTCTGTGCTGGGCACCTCACCAGATACTTTATCGAACCCTCACACAAATTAGTTGAGGTATCGTCAGTTGTGTTTTATAGATAAGGAAACTGAGGCCCAGAGGAGGAAAGCAACTTGCCTGCCACGTCCTCTGAGCAGCCCAGATGCCACTACCTGCCCCAACACTACCACTTCCTGCACCTTCGGCCACAGCGCTTGGCTCTCTTTGCCAAGGGACAAGAAGGAGTCAGAGAAGCAAGCCTGCAGCCTTTTCTTAAGCAGCTCTAAGAAATCTACCAAAAAAAAAGCAGCTCCAAGAAAGCCCCTTTCCTCCTCTCATTCATAGCCACCTCTGGCCTAGAGGCCATGAAGAATTAAGTAAGTAGGAATCCAAAGAGGAAATAAAATGTTAGGGAAGGAAGGAAGGAAGGAAGGAAGGAAGGAAGGAAGGAAGGAAGGAAGGAAGGAAGGACCATAATATTAAGATAAATATGAGAGCAAATGCCTCACCAGAAGTTGTCACAAGATAAAATATGGGTATTGTATTTTAATATATGACATATGTAACTAAAACCATCCCAATTTTTACTATTAAGCAGGGATTTCAAACGCAAATGCGTAAGAGGGCAAAGCAAGTAAAGTAAGTAAATGAAGGGAAAAAAGCAAGACAAGGAGTGGTGAAGAATCTGCCAACATGAAAGGCGCACATCTTTCCTTAAAATATCTAAAATTAGATTTTTTTTTTAAATTGTACGCAAATTGAATATGTCTGTGGACAGAATTTATGAACTAGGCAGGTGACTCTTATGACGTTATGATAGTTTATTTGTACTGAAACAAAGAAATGTACAACGCCCACCCCTTAATTTTTAGTTACAGGTATGTAAGTGTAAAACCTTCAGGGATGCCTTAGATGTCTGTGCATTCTGCATTCATGCAATTTGGACAATATGAACGGGGAAGAGTTTCCATTGGAGACTTTTGTTCTGTTTTGCTTTTGCTTCGATTCTTTATCCAGTTTTTCCTGATGTAAGATCTGCAGTGGGGGTGTATGTGTGTACTGGAAGGGGAAAAGGATATTTCAAATATGGTTTAGGAGAGTTATTAATGCTATAGGCTCTGGGGGCAGGTGGCTTAAGTTCAAATCCTCAGTCTACTACTTGGTGTGTAAATGTGAGGCTATTACTCAATTTTTTCCAAGTCTCTTACCTCATCTATAAAAAAAAAAAAAAAAAAAGAGAGAGAGAGAGAAGAGAATAATTGTATCTAACTCACAATGCTGTTGAGAGGATTAAATGAGATAATGATTCAAAGAGCTTAGCACAGGTGCATAACTGCTAAATAAACATTAACCTTTATCTTTAAATCACTCAGGGTAAGAGCACAACTGAAGTCAGAAGCGATGCCAAGCAGGCTGGATACAAATTGAAGCAATTTGGGGATTATATTGCCTCCCTTCTTGGCTCCCATCATTCCCGAGCTTTGTGGATAAAAATGAAAGGGATCCATCGTGAGGGAAAGGGGAGTTGCTGTTCAGTGAACAGAGTTGCAGACAAAGTTCCAGATTATTGTGTACAACAATCGCGCTCAGTTAATAATGCTGTATTGTAGCATTTGAAGAGTTTGATGAGAGTGCAGATCTCCTATTAGATGTTTTGTTTCTTTTGATTTTTGTTTTGTTCTGTTTTGTTTTAACCACAGTTAGAAAAACCATGAAAGGGTAAAAGAGAAAAAAACTACATTTTACATGCATTTTACATTGCTGGTAATATTCTTTTAAAAATGCACTCTATTAGCACACAGCAACTCTGCCACCATGAACACCCATCGGTAGGTAATTGTGAATGTGCTAAATTTATTTGTGACTTTGAATGACCACTCTCCTCTCTTCAAAGGAAGATTCTTGGAGGAATTCAACACATCACCGAGCTAGGTGTGAGAACCTCATACAACCAGTCTCTATGGATTTGGCTGTTTACTGTATGTGAACTGTCTGTATC